TGCAAAATACTATTTATGAATAGAAATTAATATCCGATTTATGGCTCAATACTTACGGAAAGTTTTTTCTCGCATTTATTTTTCCGCACAAAAACTAATGTGTCATTCATTTTGAAGTTTTTTTTAATATTGAATTGTTTTTATAAATTATATTTTCCGAAGAGATTACAGTTTTATTTTAAAATTTACGTGTAATTTGTGTTTTTTAAATTTATACTATTTTATAAAATTTGTATTTATTTAATGTTTTTTATATTCAAACTCATTATTCAATTCAAATCGATGTCTAAGTTTAGTCACAAAATGTATGATTATTATGATTGTAATGAAATGATTTATAATTAGAAATAAAGCTTTATAACAAGATTATCATGATAATGACTACATGCTACGTGAAATAGAATAAATATTGTATAATATAAATAGTAGTACCGTATAAATATAATACCGGTATATCAAACTTACTGTTATACTTATGTGAGTAATAAATTGGTAACTTATTAAATATAATTGATTTATAAATTACTGTATATACGCGATAAATATACTTTGAGTAGATTTACCAATTTACTAGTTGCTAGAACTTTTTCTTAAATAGCTTCATCGTATGCATAGTCTGACCACCAATAAGTGGCCGAAAAGGCCAACCCGAGCCACCCGTACCTAAACGACGTCGGCATCCGGCGCTCAATGGACTTCGTAATGATTTTAACTTTGGACGCCTTAACGGGGGTCTCCATAATCGCTTCAATATCCTTATGGGTGACTGCACCCCACTTTTGAATGATGCCGAGCAGGTGTCCCTCACCAACCACACCCACCACAACCACGGGCGGCGAGTTTGGTGCCGGGTATTTCATCGTGCGTTTGGGCGCCCAGTATAGGGCGTGCGCTAAATACGCATCCCTTTCGTCTATAAGCACGCGTTTAAATACGAGACCTTTTACCGGGAAAGTGAGCTTGGTGGTAAACAGAGCATAGAATGTGAGCCACAAATTAACCCACACGGGTAGCGCGTACCGGAGCCGTGCGTCAGTAATGAGCTGGGGTCGATCCCCGAGCACTACCACACATCCGGGCACATTTCTGGCTTCCACGTAGGCGGCCCTAAATTCGCGGCCGAATTTATTTACGAAACGAGCGCCGGTAGCATAATGGGCGCCACTATATGGACCGTGTTGGCGAATGTACTTCGCGATACTCGAGGTCGTGAGTGAGGTATCGAATTTTGAGGGCTCGTAGTGGGGCGACAGTACGTCCAACCGCTGTTGGCACAGCTCGAGCACCACCACGTTTGGCCGCACTAGGCGTATGATTTCCGTGACACAGTTCGCTGAATTGGCTGCCGTGGTCTGTGCCCACGGCTACACTTTGGCGCCGTCGTGTCCCTCCAACACGACACCAATAGGGTCGGGATGTCCTTTCATAAAAATCCCATTATATTGACGGGTGGTGTCCATTATGGGGACTCCAAAGTACACGATTTACACCATAGTATAGCAAAAAAAACTCTTTAAAATTGATTTTTCAGTGAATAGTATTCACTGAATGCCATATGAGTTGAGACAAGAATTTCGTTATGAATACGAGTTTCTCGGGTATAGTCCACACAGACCTTCACTTTTATTGCCCTTTCCCTAACACCCTTTACTCTCTCTCTCTCTCTCTCTCTCCCCCTCTCTCACACGATTTGTAACATAGCAACCTACTTTTTTATTACAAAAATTTTAAAGTTTAGTATTATATAAGTGTTGACTGGTTTTGTTAAATAAATTCCGGGAACTGTATTCCCATAGAGTTGTCCAGTGTTTCATTCACCACACTCTTCGCAACACATTTAAAGGTATTTATATTTAATTAAAGAAAAATTATTTTTAAAGAATATTCTGAATATTAAAACATTTATTAATATTTACTATAATATTAAATGAATTTGTAATTAATCGATAGCACACTACTAATAAATTAAAATAAAATCTAATATTATGTATGAGTTGTTAGTTATATAAACATCTGTACATTATATGGATATATGCGTGCGATTTAGTGGCCAGGGATGAGAGGGTTGGAGCCAATTCTTGGCGTCCACTACCAGACGTGGCATTTGTGAATGGGATTCATAGGACTACCCTCTGGACAGTTGTAGGCCCGCGAAAACTCCACCGAATTGTGTAGAGTTCCTATCACTCTGTTATAGAGGAATTAAAAGTTACCAGGGTATAGGAAATAATTGGTAATAATTAAGTATTTCATAGTACATTTAATTCCTAGTATAATTTAAATACTGTATATTCCCAGTACTATGCGTGCAAACGGCATACTGTACTAGGATCTATTTATTTAGGCATTTGGATATTTTATAATAGAATTATGATCAAGGTATCATAAGTGTGACCTACCGGTGCTTCCCAGGCGTGTGTTTCCAGGTCTTGAGGGCTGTGAGCGTCCCCTCCTCTGTCATGGTTTGGCACCAATTCTGAGCGAACTTCAGGAAAAATAGCTGAGTTTGGGTGAGATTGAGGCCCGGGAGCAGTCGGTCGGCCCCATACCGGAGCTGCAGCTTTTTGAACGCCTTTTCGAGACAAATATATGTGTTTTCGGAGTTTTGTTTCAGAATATAATGTTTTTTATAGTAATTGTATGAATGCTTACCCGAAATGATTGCTTTACTCCTCCGTTATCCGCGATATTCTGGTTAATGAATACAGTTTTAGTAATTATATGAGTGATAGTGAGTGAGAGAGTGAATGAGTGAATGAGAGAGAGAGAGAGAGAGAGAGAGAGAGAGACTAATTCATACTTCGCTTAAAGTGAGGACACCATTGATCTGAAAAAATAGTAATTTAGATAAATTGAATACTAATTAAACATTAAGTTGTGTACAAATAGCGGACACACCTTATGGTCCTCTCCCATCACTCTAACGGTGTAGTTGTTGTACTGATTGGTCATACACTGGGACTTAGCGATGAACCGGTCGATGGTGTTCGGGTGCCACCAGAGCCGCTGATTGCCATTGGAGTCGTGGTGGCGACCTAACACATACACATACCCCGTCCCCACACCATACCAAACATGTGTTAATTTATATGTAATTTTTATATAAAATTTTAGTATAATTACCGTTTGAGTCGAAACCATGGGTTAACTCGTGTCCCACAATCTGTTAGACATTTATTTAATATATTAAATAATGTTTTTAATGATTTGAATATTTGCTTGATTATTAGTAGTTTGGATGACATACCGATCCGATAGCCCCGTAATTCAATGAGTTTGGATAGTCTTTGTTAAACAGCGGGGACTGGAGTACAGCCGCAGGAAAGCCTTATATTTTTGTAATTTAAAAATTAGTAAAGACTTAAAAAGTTTTTAATTAAATGTTTGTATGACTTACTCATTAGATTCCTATATCTATGGTAGTGTGCGTTCACAACACTGGGCACTACTGTCCACCTGTCCATTGGGGGAAATGGATGTAGTATTTTTCAGGTATATCCTGACACTATGTACTTACTTATCCCGGTCAACCTCGTCATACAATTTTGATTGTGTTTTATTTGTGGAGTTTCGTAGAAATCCGATAACATTTTCAAAATATTTGTCACTTTCAAAGTGTAGCTATAATTGCAGTAAAGATTATTTTTTAAAATAATTTGTTTTGTGTGTTTAAATATTAATATTTACATGCTCATATTCTTCATTCAATTTATCCTGGTCCATTAAGTAATCAGGGAAACCAATGTGTTGCTCCATTACCGCTGCCTGTAATCAGTATTTTAGACAAATTACTAGCTAGTTACATAAATTTAAAGTTTTTAGTTAGCTTTAATGGTTCAGGTAAGTTTTAAAGTAAATTAATGTTATTGTGAGATGTCCTAGATGTTAAACATGATCACCTTGGTCTTGGCATCAGCTCTAGTTTCCGGGTCCATCCACTCGATCTCATCGAGTATTTCGTAGAATTCATTCTTAATATTAGCGATCATTTCTTCGGCCTTTTTATCATTAATTAAAATTAATTTTTAAAGTTTTTGAACATAAATAACTATTTAATTAGAAAAAAGTTTTCAATACTAACTAACCTTAGCCTTACTGGCGCTGTTAAAATGTTCCTGAACATACAGCGCGCTTACTGCCATACCTAACAAATTATAAGCAACTTATTATAGCATAGGTCCTGTATTTTAAATAGCATACTGACCCATGTTATTATTAACATAGTCGACACACTTTTTCCACCTGGCTGACTGACTTTTAGTACCATATATTTCCCTATAGAAATCTTGTTGTACTTTATCGAACCGGGCATCCAGGTTATTGGCCCGGTTCATCACAAACCTCCATAGCAAATAATTAAGCAAGGTCCTATCGAAAATAATTAATTTAATATATTAATAATAAGTAAATTACTGCTAAATACCGGTTAGGTGTCTGTCCAATGAGCTCCTGTGTGTCAATAAAATAGTCCAAACCATATATGCCGACAAACTCGGTGTCGTTGACGGGCACCGGTATGGCTAACTCGAGGTACAGTTTCC